TAAAGGCAAAGGGGAAAAAAAGAGAGTGCAAAAATTATAGGGGGATAAAGTCTGTTGATTTATACCTTGTAAAGGAATGGCAGAGTTAATTATTGAAAAAATTTAAAGAGTAAGACAGAGAATAGGAAAAGCAGATGAACAAGGACCCTTTAGGAAAGGTAGGGGGTGTGTGGACCAGTTGTTCACAGTGAAACATATAAGTGAACAGTTTTTAGTAAGGCTAAAGAGGTCTTTTGTGGCATTTATGGATTTTGGAAAAGGCATATGACAGGGTGGATAGGGGGGCAATGTGGCAGATGTTGCAGGTGTAATGGTGTGGAAGGTGGTTACGGGAAAGCAGTGAAGATTTTTTACGGGGATAGTGAGGCTCAAGTTAGAGTATGTAGGAAGGGGGGAAATTTATTTCCCAGTAAAAGTAGGCCTTAGAAAAGGGATGTGTGATGTCACCGTGGTTTTTTTAATATATTTATAGATGGGGTTTAAGAGAAGTAAATGCGAGGGTCTTGGCAAGGGCGTGGAGTTAAAGATAAAGAATCACACATAAGTGGGAGTTGTCCCAGTTGCTCTTTGCTGATGACACTGTGCTCTTGGGAGATTCTGAAGAGAAGCTGAAGAGATTGGTGGATAATTTGGTAGGGTGTGCAAAAGAAGAAAATTAAAAGTGAATACAGGAAAGAGTAAGGTAATGAGGATAACAAAAAGATTAGGTGATGAAAGATTGGATTATCAGATTGGAGGGAGAGAGTATGGAGGAGGGGAATGTATTCAGATATTTGGGAGTGGACATGTCAGCGGGTGGGTTTTGAAAGATGAGGTGAATCATAGAATTGATGAGGGGAAAGGGTGAGTGGTGCACTTAGGAGTCTGTGGAGACAAAGAACTTTGTCCTTGGAGGCAAAGAGGGGAATGTATGAGAGTATAGTTTTTACCAACGCTCTTATATGGGTGTGAAGCAAGGGTGATGAATGATGCAGCGAGGAGAAGGCTGGAGGCAGTGTGAGACGTCATGTCTGAGGGCAATGTTGTGTGTGAATATAATGCAGAGAATTCGTAGTTGGAAGTTAGGAGGAGGTGCGGGATTACCAAAACTGTTGTCCAGAGGGCTGAGGAAGGGTTGTTGAGGTGGTTCGGACATGTAGAGAGAATGGAGCGAAGCCCGAGTGACTTCAAGAGTGTATCAGTCTGTAGTGGAAGGAAGGGGGGGTAGGGGTCGGCCTAGGAAAGGTTGGAGGGAGGGGGTAAAGGAGGTTTGTGTGCGAGGGGCTTGGACTTCCAGCAGGCATGCGTGAGCGTGTTTGATAGGAGTGAATGGAGACAAATGGTTTTTAATACTTGACGTGCTGCTGGAGTGTGAGCAAAGTAACATTTATGAAGGGATTCAGGGAAACCGGCAGGCCGGACTTGAGTCCTGGAGATGGGAAGTACAGTGCCTGCACTCTGAAGGAGGGGTGTTAATGTTGCAGTTTAAAAACTGTAGTGTAAAGCACCCTTCTGGCAAGACAGTGATGGAGTGAATGAAGGCGAAAGTTTTTCTTTTTCGGGCCACCCTGCCTTGGTGGGAATCGGCCAGTGTGATAATATAATATAATATAAGTGTACAGGAACTTGGCATGTTCCTTGAGGTGGATGACAAAGCACTTTGTCTCGGAAACTGCAGAGTCAGTAGCTAGTTTGCGTCGCCACTCACTCAGTTTTGGGCTGGTGTCTCATGCCACCCAAAAACCTATTGCCCATATGGTAATGGTATCATATGTTATGGGAACCATATGGTACATTGTACATATAGTATAGGGGACCAAGCAGTACAGGAAAACATATATGCAGGTACCATATGGTACAGGGTAACATATGGTACAGGTACCACATGGTACAGGTACCATACAGTACAGGACACCATATGGAACAGATACAGGGATAACTATGGAAATAAGTCCCCCATGACATTTTGGGTTATCCTAGGATTTTATATGTTTTCTGCTATGTATGATAATCTATGTAAATTTTATTTTTGTACACCTGAATAAACTTACTCAAGTGCATGTGGCATCATAAGTAAGTTTATTTAGGTATACACAAATAATGTTACATAGAATATCATACTTAGCAGCATATGTTTGGAGAACCTAGGATAACCCAAAAAAGTCAGACAAACTTATTTCCATTAAGGTCCCTGAACCCTGTACCATATGGTATAATGTACCATATGGTACAATGTACTATATGGTACATTGTACCACATGGTACCATTGTACCATATGATACCATTGTACCATATGATACCATTGTATGACATGGCACCATTGTACCATATGACACAATCGTACCATATGGTTCAAAACCATAGAATTCGTCTTCAGCTCCACTTCCATCAGTCTTAGAACTGTAAGTTATGAAAAGGAGAGTCAGAATTCACCCAGAGAGTGAGTGGGGAGTGAGAGCTTCCTTGCCGCCAGGCATGATGAACAAAGCTACTTTGCCGGCGTTCCCACAATGCCATGCGGGTGTCCAGATTTTTTCTATATTGTGCACACTGACCAACCAGGCCCATTCTCTCAGATGTAGGCCTACCAGCCTTCTCATGCTAAATTTGACGCCGCTAGAATTTTGGCATAGAACTACAGTTTGAACCCTGAACGTAAAGCCGTAGATCTACAGGACGGACCCTGAAAGGGTTAAGTCATTCAGTCAAGTCAGTCAGTAGGTCAGTCAAGTCAGTATGTTATTCAGTCAAGTCAGTAAGTCATTCAGTCAAGTCAATAAGTCAGTCAAATCAGTCAGTCAAGTCAGTAAGTCAGTCAATCAGGTCAGTAAATCAGTCAGTCAAGTCAGTAAGTCAGTCAATCAAGTCGGTAAATCAGTCAGTCAAGTCAGTCATGACACAAACTCATATTTATCACATTCTTTTTGTGTACAAAATGATGCTTCATTCCGGCTACAGGTTATGTCTTGTCTAATACAGTGGACCCTCGGCTAACAAACGCATCACATAACATTAAATCCACCTAACGAAGCATTTGAGCGTAAAATTTTTGGCCCACCTAATGATAAAAAACTCACCCAACGTGATTCGTCCCGAACCTGTCCGTCCAGTCTGAGTGCCTCAGCTGCCCTGCCGTCATTGTTTACAAGCCAAGGTGGCCAGTTTCATGCATACATTCAATATATTTTGTATTATTCCATTGTTTTTAGTGCTTGTAACTGCTAAATAAGCCACCATGGGCCCAAAGAAATCTTCTACTGCCAACCCTGTGGTAAAAAGGGTCAGAAATACTACTGAAATACCATCTCACCATGCTGCTGCTGCACCACCATCAGCTATTGCTGCACCACCGTCAGCTGCACTACTTGAAGATGTGGAGAGACTGTTGCTGGTGTGGCTTAACAAGAAACAATTAACCCCAGAGGGTTAGCCACCCAGGATAACCCAAGAAAGTCAGTGAGTCATCGAGGACTGTCTAACTTTTTCCATTGGGGTCCTTAATCTTGTCCCCCAGGATGCGACCCACATCAGTCGACTAACACCCAGGTGAACAGGAAAAAATGCCTGGAACCAGTGCTCATATTGGTGAATTTAAGGCCAGCAAAGGTTGGTTTGAGAGATTTAAGAATCATAGTGGCATACACAGTGTGATAAGGCATGGCAAAGCTGAAAAATTCCAACCCCAACAAGTGTTCAATTGTGATGAAACAGGTCTGTTCTGGAAGAAAATGCCAAACAGGACCTACATTACTCAGGAGGAAAAGGCACTCCCAGGACACAAGCCTATGAAAGACAGGCTAACTTTCTTGTTTTGTTGTAATGCTAGTGGGGATTGCAAAGTGAAGCCTTCACTGGTGTATCACTCTGAAAATCCCAGTGTTCAAGAAAAACAGTGTCTCATCACTCATCAATACTCTTCAATAAAGGTAAGTGTCATTTTAACATTTATTTATATAGTTACTGTGCATGTTTCATTTTCTTTGTTGGTAAATGTATATTTCATGAAAAAAAATTTTTTTTTAATACTTTTGGCTGTCTGGAATGGATTAATTGAATTTCCATTATTTCTTAAGGGGAAAATTAATTCAGCTAACGATAATTTCGTCTAACGATGAGCTCTCAGGAACGGATTAATATCGTTAGCCGAGGGTCCACTGTATCTCCATTTTCTTCGTTAATTCTAAGACTAAAAGTATAAACCTTTTCTTGCAACTTTCAGGAACACTTGTATGCCTACTGGGTGCCACGACTGCTTGGCAGATTTAAGATATGGCAATTAATATGTATCTAAACAAACACAGCGAGCTACTGGCACAGGTTCGTCCAACACACGCATGAACTGAACTGAAGGCTGGGAGGGTGGTGGGAGTGGCTGATGCTGGCGGGGGATGGCGGTAGGTTTTTGAAATTTTTGGAAAGTTTTCAGACATAATGGAGAATCGTGCTCATGGAGAATGTAAACATACCAGGTGGCCTGCGGTGACCATATTAGGAAGTCAGGTGGGGGGAGCCGTACAGCTAGTTTTGGCCATAATTTGAAATGTCCGTATTAGCAGACTGCCGTAAAGCAGAGCCCTATTGTATATGCTTGTACATGCATGTGCAGTGTGGCTTATGTGTAAGTACCAGTAGCATATTTATGAGACAGAAAAAAGAATCCAGAAATTCTACCATGTAAAACAATTTCAGGCTTCTGTTTTACACTAGCTTGGCAGGATGGTAGTACCTCCCTGGGCAGTTGCACAGACAAATTAACAGATATAAATATGACTGATAACATACAGTCCCTGCAACTGCAGCTTGTGTGATAAAACAATAATGTAACTAGGTATGTTTTGGTAGCAAAAAAGACACTATTCTCATGTCTGCCTATTAAAATACACAATCCTTGAAATCTTGCAATCACTTTGAAGTGGCATTTTCAATTAAACACATGGAAACTACAAGGTAAAAATGAAAATGATAATTAAGGAAAAAGCTCCTTCAACAACTACAGATATCTCACATCTGGGGTATCAAACAAGGAAGGAAGGAAGCCTTACCCCATTCTGCCATAGGCTTTACTGTACTGTGGCTCTATTTCTAGTGCTCGCTTGCAGTCCTCAATTGCTTCTCGGTGGTTGTTTAATTTACTGTGAGCAGCTGCTCTATTGCAGTAGTAGACAGCATTCAAACAGTCCTTACTAATAGCTCTGAAAACAATAAGAATTCTAATTTATAAAGTTGTAAATGATTAATCAAATTAACATACCATACATATACAATGCACTTTTGTTGACTAACATGTTTCAGTGGCAAGTAAATCTGAATGGAAATCAGCAAAATAATTATAAATAATGACGAGAAAATGAGGTTGGGAGAAAGCAGCAGATTTTTTTCTTTTTGAGATTACAATTAAAACCTGCTTATCCAGAAGCTGGTGAATGAAATTACTGGACATTTCATACAAACAGCATTTCACTAATGCAGCAGTTTTCAATTATACTCATTCTTCATTTATTCAGATTTCCTACAATAAATATATTCGACACTCACTATAAGCTACAGACAAAAATAATTTAAGCTAAGTAACGTGTGTACTGTATATGATTTTTTTTAGGTCTAGCTCTATTGCTCACTTAATATTTTTTTTTTTAACAGGTCGGCCATCTCCCACCGAGGCAGGGTGACCTAAAAAAGAAATTAAATCCCTAAAAATAAAATACTTTCATCATTCAACACTTTCACCTCACTCACACATAATCACTGTTTTTGCAGAGGTGGTCAGAACACAACAGCTTAGAAGCATATGCCTATAAAGATACACAACATAACCTTCCAAACTGCCAATATCCTGAACCCCTCCTTTAGAGTGCAGGCATTGTACTTCCCGTTTCCAGGACTCAAGTCCGGCTATATAAAAATAACCGGTTTCCATGAATTCCTTCACTAAATATTTCCCTGCTCACACTCCAACAGATCGTCAGGTCCCAGATACCATTCTTCTCCATTCACTCCTATCTAACACGCTCACGCATGCTTGCTGGAAGTCCAGGCCCATCGCCCACAAAACCTCCTTCACCCCCTCCCTCCAACCTTTTCGAGGACAACCCCTACCCCGCCTTCCTTTGCCTACAGATTTATACGCTCTCCATGTCATTCTACTTTGATCCATTCTCTCTAAATGACCAAACCACCTCAATAACCCCTCTTCAGCCCTCAGACTAATACTTTTATTAACTCCACACCTCCTAATTTCCACACTCCGAATTTTCTGCATAATATTTACACCACACATTGCCCTTAGACAGGACATCTCCACTGCCTCCAACCACCTCCTCACTGCTGCATTCACAACCCCAAACTTCCACCCATATAAGAGTGTTGGTACTACTATACTTTCATACATTCCCTTCTTTGCTTCCATAGATAACGTTTTTTGTGTCCAAATATACCTCAACGCACCACTCACCTTTTTTCCCTCATCAATTCTATGATTAACCTCATCCTTCATAAATCCATCCGCCGACACGTCAACTCCCAAGTATCTGAAAACATTCACTTCTTCCATATATGACACAACTCGAGAACAAAATCCTCAGTCTTGAACAAAAGTTATCAACACCAGGAATGACTAACTGTGACAAGACCATCCCGACAGCTAGTAGCCTACCCCCCAAAAATAATATCTCTTTTTAAAAGGTTTAAAACAGCAGTAAAAGAATGGGAAGAACAACTTGATAACCAGTTCACACTACTTTGCTCCCAGAAAATAAAATGAACAAGATAAAATAGGCGCATTTATTAACAGTCCCTTTTTTCCCCAGGATATGAACCAAAAAAAACGTTGGTTTAGAAGAACTAAGCAAACACTATAACATATTTTTTAGAAAAATTTCGGTCCTGGGGGCCTTGACCCTTTCTCAGAAAGTGATAAAAGGCCCCCGGGAAACCGAAATTTTTAAAAAAATAGTTTTTTAGTGTTTCCCTTAGTGTCTTTCAAAACCCAACTTATCGGTATTTTTTTCCCAAAAGGGTTTAAACCCAAAACCCAAACAGTAAAGAAATTACTTGCAGATCATAAAGGAAAAAAACAAGTTTTTATTGCCCAAGTCTGAAAAAAAAAGCCGGTTTTTATAAGACCCCAATGGTAAAAAAAGTTTTTATGTTTTGTTTTCCACTCACATAAACAGGAAAAAAGATTTAAATTTAAATGGAAACTATTAAAGTAAAGAAGAGGTATAAAAAACGAGTTTTCTTACCAAAAAAGGGCAAAAACCCCCTTTTAAATTAGAGTCAGAAAACTTAAGCGGGGGGAAAAATGACAAAATACCCCAAAGGGTTTAAACATGGGTTTGGGAAAATTCTATTTTGGAAAAAAATGTAGGTAAATTTGTACAAAACCCACGAACAAAGTTTATCTAATCACGATTTCTCGGGGTTTACTAATTTTTAACAGAGAAAAAAACTAAAAAATGCCCAAACCTAAAACCCTATGTAATGTAGTGTATGTTTTGCTCCATTATTTTTTAAAAAATTTCATAGTACAATTCTTGGGAAATTTAAATAATAAACCCCTCATTATAGGTTTTTTCCCAAAAAGGGCATAAGTCACCTTTGTTTTTTCCCCTTATTTACTATTTTTTGCTTAAATTTTAGCTGAATTGATACTTTTTTTCTTGTCCATATTAAACCCATATTTTTTTAAATACTATAAAAAATTGAATTACCTTTTCCCTAAAATTAAAAATTTTAACCATTTTTACTATAATACACTTTACTTTTAAATTTTTTTTGGGACATCTTTAAACCCCTTTTTGGGGGTTTTCTCGTAATAGTTAGGGGCTTACCGTGGGGGTTTTTAAAGTAAAAAGTACTCATAAATTTGGGCCGGCCTAAAATCTAGTGGGGAAAGCTGGTAGGCCTTCTATAAAAGAATGGGTCTTTTTGGTCAGTGTGCACAGTTTTAAAAAAAACCTGGCACACAGTGCATAATGAGAAAAAAAAAATTTTGACCTTTTTTTTTTTAATAAATCAGCGACTTTGCCCGTGTATTTTTTGTTTTGGTATTTATTGGGTTTTATTTTAGTTTTTTTTGGTCTCATTTTATAGAATGGGGAAAACTATTACAGAAATTGAGAAAGTTTTTGGGCGGTTTACCAAAAAAAGGTCCCCTTTAAATTGACTCAAAGTAGGGAGAAAGTTTTTATTTTTACCAAAAATTTAAAGTAAACAAACGTGCCAAAAAAGTGAAAACACTCAACTGGTGACCCCAAAATTCTTTCAAAAAGTGCAACCCAAAAATATTTATACCATTTTTTACCTAAAAGCAGTAGTCTGGGATAACAGTTAAAAATTATATTTTTTGTGGGAAAAAAAAAAAATTCAAATGGAAACCCAAAGAATTTTAAGAGGGGCCTTTAGACATGCAAAAGATAAAAGGGAAAAGTCTTTTTTGTGCCAGGAATGTCTTTTTGTTTATTTGGACCCCATTCGGAAATTGGCATCTTTGAAAAATTTTGTGTGAAATTGGCAAAATTGCTAATTTGGGCCACTTTACTGGAAAGTTGGATTTCATAAAATTAGTGGTTTTTTTGCACCCATTCGATAGAAAAAATGGAGTTTTAAACGAAATATTCTGTTTTTTGTCGACTATAAAGTGAAAAATTTGGGCCGGGGAAAATTTGGGGGTCAAAGTGGGCAAAAAAAAACGCCGATGCTAAACATCGCCGGACCCCTAAAAATTTTCGAGGGGCCCTAATTCCGTAAGTTTTCCATCCCAAAATTTTAAACTTTTTTGGGGTCTTTTATCGGGAAAAGATTCTCTATCTTTTCATAAGAGAAAATAATTTTTTTTTTTTTTAAATTTGGCCGACCCTGAGAACGAGTTTCGGAGAGGGCCTGTCGACCCTCAAAGGGTTAATAACCATTACTTGTCTAATTACCTTAACCTGTTTTAATACCACATTTACTATCTTAAGAGTACTCTTAATTAGCTTGTACTGCCAAATAACCTCAAGTATAACTACCAGTGCAATATTGAATGAAATAAACATTACTTTTTCACTTTTTTTGTAATCATTATTACTTACTAAAATTTTATTAAACACCATATTTACTACCAGTCAATTTTACTTTTGTACATTAATCATTATTTTATACTTTTCATAACATTTTGTTGCCAAATTTTCAAGTTTGTATATTCAACTCCAACCTTTATATTATCCTTTGTACCTGTGTACCTGTCTACCATCTTACTATCTTATTACAGTGGACCCCCGCATAACGATCACCTCCGAATGCGACCAATTATGTAAGTGTATTTATGTAAGTGCGTTTGTACGTGTATGTTTGGGGGTCTGAAATGGACTAATCTACTTCACAATATTCCTTATGGGAACAAATTCGGTGAGTACTGGCACCTGAACATACTTCTGGAGTGAAAAAATATCGTTAACCGGGGGTCCACTGTATAACCAAGACATTGCCATTGTTATTTTTTACTTATTATTCTTTTAGTACTTTAATTGTGAATTTTATTTTGTCAATTTAAATCTAGTTATACTCTTGATCTTGTCAACAACCTATACCAGACCCTAGTGCAATGGCAAGTACCATTTCAATTTGTATTTTTATATTATAAGTTTATATTATAAGTCCTACTCTAAGATTGTTTTCATATCTTAGTGACTATATTGTGTGTGCAATAGTGTATATTTCAATTATATTATTGTTCAATGCCCTTAACTATCTTTTGCTAACTAGTACCAACTACCTCATATATTTTTTTTTCTACTTTTTTATTCTTTTGCTACCTTAACTTGTATATTTTATCCTGTCAATTTAAATCTAGTTATACATGTACTCTAATTCTTGTAAACAACTTATATAAGATATTAGTGCAATTACAATTGAGAGTCTTGTGCCTTTTTTATATCATTAGATTAAACTCAGTTGTACTATAGCTCATTCTAGCTCAATACATAGTCAATACCAAATTCATTATATTAGACCATAGTGTAATTACTAGTGAGAGTCTGGTGCTATTTTTAACCCCTTCAGGGTCCAAGGCCAAAATCTGAAGTGGTGCCCCAGTGTCCAAGAATTTTCCAAAAAAAAATTTGCTATTTTTTATTATGAAATGGTAGAGAATCTTTTTGTGAAGGTAATAAAACAAAAAGTACGAAATTTGATGGAAAATTGACGAAATTAT